TACATTTGTCACAGTAAACGCAAGAATCCCAGAGTTGCAGAGACACAGAAAAGAAGTCGGATCTGTAAGCATTTGCCATATGTGTTGCGAGAATTCCAGTATCCGTGAAGCCCAGAATTCGAGTCGATAAGTGTGATTTCTATGCACTAGCACACAAACATATGAATAACAAGGATCCTAGAATCAATCAAAGGGGCCAACAGATTCGGAAAAGAAACATTGAAAGTGGCTGAAAGTTACAGACTGCAGGTAATTCATCATGAAGAATGTAATGGTACTATCGGATGACTTTCGGAAAACCTTTCAGGTTGCTGTCGTTGTTTCTGGCTGGATTTGGAATAAAATGAAGGGTGAACGTGGTATCCAACCTCTTCTATCCAACGGTTTGCTTATTTGTTTGTCAAAGTGAAAGAAAAGAGATCCATGCATCGCTGATCACTGCAGTAAAACAGGAACATGTGCTCTTCACATTTTTCTTTACTTTTTTGCTTTTGTTTAGATTCACAGCTAGTGCATAAACCCAGGTAAAAAAATCACCCTCCACTGTGGTACACTTTTTTTAAATATACTTCAAGCTAGAGCTCTCCCGTTGGTTTTATTTTAAACTAGACACCTAACTGCATGGACTGATGGAAGCCGATTTTTGAACTATGTCTTAGTTTACTAAAAAAGCAAATTTCTCCGAAAAATTCGGTTTGAGATTTTTTTCGTGTTTTTTTGGCCTTGAAAGCGCCGTCAAAATCGGATGTAAGACCACAAAAGTCTTTTTTGAGGGGAGATGGCTCAGAAGCATCTTGTTGTTCTGGCTGATAATTATTATCTTCATCCTGCTGTTCGTTATTAACATAAGCTATTACTTCTTCTTGCTTGTCATTATCTTCATTTTTCCGTTTCTTGTTGCTCTCCGCGCTTGTCGCCATCGACATTGTTGATTTCAAACTGGGACTGTGATTGAGTCATGTCAAACGAAGATCGACAAGTTTGCTGACTTATGGTCGTATCATCCATCGCCCGATTGCTTGCCAATTAAATTTTCAGTCGGCCGAAGATACTTTTGTCGTCAGAAAATACATTAATATGAACAATTTATAAACCGAATAAACAGATGATGGAAGACGGTTTACCGATTTTCTACGCTTTCGACCAATGGGATGCTCCTTGTTCATGTTTAACAATATTATTAACGTACAAAGAAATAAAAGAAAGACTAACCATGCACTCTCTAAAGCACTGTCATTTTTTCCGAAATGTATTTCTCGAAACTGTGAGATCCATTCACAGTGTACCGTGTTTTATTGAAGAAGATAAATGCAAGAAAAA